GCCCTCGCCCGCCGCGGCCGCCGGCGGCCGCCGCGGCGCCAGTGCGCGCGCGCCCGTGCACGCGTCTGCGATCAGCAGGTCCGTTCCCTCTGCGACCCGCGCCAGCCGCCGCGGGTCGCGGATCGCGGGCGCTATGGCCACCACGCGTCCGGGCCGCACTGGGGCCACCACCATGGCCGGCGGCACGGCCACTCCCTTGCTGTTCGCGACAGTCTGGCCGCCCTTGAGCCGGCCGTAGGAGTCGCCTATCTCGATCAGGTCAGTGCAAGATCGCACGCGCGCTGGCGTCAGGGGGCAGCGCAGGGGCACCGCGGAGCGAAGCAGCTTGCATGTACGACCCGCTTCCTGCAAAATGCCTGACCGTTGGCCGACACCCATGCAGCCTCCCAGCCCGCTGGGGGTAACAGCATGCCACGAGGGTGCCGCCCAACACGCACGCGCGGGCGCGCTGCGCCCGCCCCCACCTGGCTGCACGTGCAGCGCGTTGCAGCGCGGCATGCTGATGCTCCCCTGCCTGTCCGCCTCCCGGATGACAAACCCAAAGGCCGGCGGCGACTCAGAGTCCAGCAGCACGGCCGTTACCATCGCGCTCGAGTCCGCCACAATCGACCAGGTCATTTCAGAGGGCGCGACGCGGCCCGCCGCCGCGGGGTCGCCGGGCGGCGGAAGGGGGAGGGGCAGGTAGCCCGCGCGCTCGTCGGTGCGGAGGGGGCCGCCCGCGGCGCGGGAGCCCTTGCTGCGCGTCGCGCGGCCCTGCAGAGTTTCGTGTGTGTGTGGGGGGGGGGCGGGAGAGGGAGCGGTTGTGGTGGCAGGTTCACGGGGGCGGCAGGCAAGGCCGAGGAGCAACGTCGCAGTGCACTGCGAGCGTCACGCAGGCAGGAGGGGTGTGCGTGAGCAACCTGCCGCGCGTTAAAATCCACCCCAACACACCTGCCCTTCCCTCCTGCCTCCCCGCCTGTGAAATGGCATTCATTGTGCTGCGGCAACACGAGCTCAAGGCGCGGTGCATCGAATCAGCTGTCACAAACCTGTGTGGGCATGAACGCGGACAGATCGCCGTCGATGTAGCCGTCGGGATTGAGCTGGTCCGGCGGCATGGCCTGGCGCCAGATTTTGGCGCGGCGGTTGAAGAGCTGGGGCTCCGAGGTGTCCACGGGGCCGGGCACAAACTCGTGCACCAAGATGGGCATCTCCACGTATGTGGTGGACACCTGGGGATTGAGGCGCCGTTTTCAGGATGGGGGGCGGTTGGAAACAGTGCTGAGGGGAGGTTTGGGGCGGCGCAGCCCCAGCAGGGCGGGGGCTGGGCAACCAAAATTCAGCGCAATGCAGACGCAAGCATCGCTGCTTGAGTTTTGGTGTGGCCGCAGGCGGCGGGTGTCCGGGCGCTGAGTTGGAGAGAGAGAGGGAGATTGGGGGAGGACCCACCTGGTAGACGCACGCCAGGAACTCTGCGGTGCCGGGGGGCCCGTACACGTGCACCGGGATGTCTGCGTTCTCGTGGCCCCGCTCGCGCGACGAGCCGACGGTGCAGATGAGGCCGGGCAGGCCCAGGATGCGCTCGGCGCGCAGCGACGACACGAACAGGCGGAAGACCTGGGGACAGTGTTTGCGGTTGCGGCGGATCCGGCAGCTTCATGTAGGAAAGGAAATCGGCGGTCGCGCATGGGGGCAGCATGCCGCCGCATGACAGCACGTACAATGGCGGCACCCTTCGAGTAGCAGTGATGGAGGGCCCCCCACCCACTGCCGGGCTCCGCCCCGCCCTGGGCCTGAGTCCAGGGCGGGGCGGCGCCGGGCCCTGGGCCTGCCAGGGAGGGCCCCGCCCGCCCTCCCGCCCTCCCGCGCCCGCGCCCGCGCGCCGGCCGTCGCGGCACCTTGCTGGGTCGCAGGTGCGGGTGCTGCACAATCTGCCGCTGCGTGTCCTCCCCCGCGTCAAACAGCCAGACGTCCTTGCCGCGCAGCAGCCCCAGGCAGGGCGCGCGGCGCGTGTCGCCGGTCGTCTCGCCGGACGTGCCCAGAAAGGAGAGCATCAGCGCGGTGCGGTTGTTCTGCGGGTGGCGGCATGGCAGATATGCATTATATTTGTGGCGTAAGCGCTGGCGGCGCACGGTGCCCCCGATGCCTAACGGAAGCAGGTGCTGCGGCAACAGCCCGGACGTCCGGCCACGCCACAACACCCGCGTGTTGTGACAGCGCTGCGCCCGAGCAAGTGTGCGTGTCCGAGCCCGTACCGTTACGGCCTCCCTCGCCTCTCCATCCCCCTGGCCGCCGCCTGCAGCCGCCGCCCGCAGCCATCGCCCTTAGTCATCGCGGCTCACCGACAGCACCAGCTCCTCCTCTTCCGGCAGCATCTGCAGCTGCCGCACCTCGTACGACGCGCCCCTCGTCCCCACGGCAAACGGCGGAAGGGACTCTGGGTCCACGCCGCTGGCCGCGCAGACCGCCAGGCCCTCCTCGGGCGTCACGCCGCCGCCCTCCGCCACGGTGTTGCGGGCGATGCGGAGCGCCCGCTGCTCGGGCGTCTCGTCGGCGGGGGCCGGCGGCGCGCCGGCGGCCGGCTGCGGCCCAGACGCGCGGGGCGGCTGCTCCTGCTGCTGTTGCTGCTGCTGCTCCTTCTGCTGCTGCTGCTGCGGTGGTAACGGCGGCGATTCGGCCGCTTCAAACGGCTGCTTATGCTGCTGCTGTTCGCTCCGCTCCCCTGCCTCCACGCCGTTTGCCGCCGCCGTCCGCCCAGCCGTGCGCGCCCGCCCGCGATTGGGTGCAGGCGCGGCCCTGTCCGCCGCCGTCGCCGCCGCCGCTTCCACGCCCTCGGGCTGCCGCTGCGTCGCGCCGCCGCTCGTGAGCGCCGCGTGCTCCTGCATGATGGCCGCGAGCAGCAGCTCCGCCAGCGCCTCTTTCTTGGCGCCGTCGGGCGCGGCGCGGCGCTTCCCCAGCTCCCGCTGCATTTCGGGGAGCTGCCGGTTTCCGAGGGTCGAGGTGCGGAGGCGGGGCGACCGGTGAGGCCAATAGTTGGTGACGGTCAAAGCTGCAGCTGCCCACATGCGAGATTGTTGGTGTGATGGCTGTCTTGCACACTTGTTCAACAGCACATTGGTTGACAACCGATGCGTCCATGATCGCATGGCATGGCGTTGTGACAGTCTGTGGATTGACATGGGCGATGGAGCGCGAGCTTGGGGAAGCTTCACGAGGGATATTGGGGCGCCATGCTGTTGCGCACCTTCAGTTTCAGGAGCGCCGCCTTGGACACGCTGCCGCGCTTTGGCTTGGTGCCCTCTGGCCACTCTATGAGGTCTGCCGGGGTCGGGACAGCGCAAGGACAGCGCCCCCGCCGCGCCGGCGCCCCAAGCCGCCGCCAGCGGGGGATGGTTGCCATGCGTGCCGCCGCAGCAAACGCCGCCGACGGCGGCGGCGGGCGGGGGCACCACGGGCCTGCAAGGCCCGTCGCAACGCGGCAAGGCATATCCATCAGCGCTCCGTTATCCTTTTACGTGGTGTGATACACGCCCATTGGCCGGTCTGTGAAGGGTAAGGTAAAAGCCCGGTCAAGTGTCCGTGCTGCGCACAATAGCATGCAAAACCAATATGTATGCACGCGTGTAGTATATTTTAATACAGGCAATCGTTCATTTGTCCTGACCGACGCATTGTGTCACTCCAGACAATTCGATCTCTCGATTGCAAGCGGTGCCAGCCATGTCTGCCGCGCTAGCCAGCACACGGTCAATGCGGGCCGCGCCTGCGCACTCCAGGCAGCGCACTGAGCCCTTGATGCGCGCATGCAGCAGCTCGTGCTGCGCAACCAGCAGCAGGCCTCTTGCTGCCGCCATGCCCGCGCCGCACTTGCGTGCCCCCCTTCGTGATGCCGCGCGGCTTGTAGCAGCACGCGCGGCCGACCCCAGCGGCGCAGCGGCTGGCCAAATGAGCAGCGAGCTGATGGCCTCGATGGAAGCCAAGATATCAGAGGCGCTCGAGGCTCAGAGCGTGAAGGTGGTGGACATGTACGGCGACGGGCGGCACGTGAGCATTGACGTGGTGTCTGCGGCGTTCGAGGGCAAGAACAGCGTCTCGCGGCAGCGCCTCGTCTACAAGGTGGGCCGGAGGGGGGGGAAGGAAGCGTCCCCTGCCATTATGGGGAACACAAAATACATGCCACCCGTTCGTCTAGCCGGCGGCGCCTCGCATGCTTGCGGAGGCTCTCGCTTGTCGGCCAGGAGCATCCTCGCCCTCTTCCATGCCTCTTGCCTTGGTGGCCGTTGATCATGGCAGCCGTCCAGCCCAGCATGCAGCAAACGACGCATCGGCCCGTCTGTCCGGCAACCCATGGGTGCACCCCTCGCAGGCCATCTGGCTGGAGCTGCAGGACGCAGTCCATGCGGTGGACGCCATGACTACCAAGACCCCAGAGGAGGCTGCCAAGTGAGATACTGTTGTTGAGGTTCTGATCCTTCCCCATTGGCTGAGTGCTGAGCGCCGCCGGCGGCAGGCCAGGTGTGGCGGCTGGAGTGCATTCTTTCCCCCCGTGTGTGCAGCCGACAAGTATATTGAGCGCAGTCTGTGATGTATCCGCAAGGACATTGTGAATGTAACATGAACAGTTTGACACAGCACCTAGGCACTTGAAGCCTGAGCAAGGCAACCAATAGGCAGGACTGGAACCAGCACGCCGCTTTGGTTCAGCAACGCACAAGCAGCATCAGGCCGTTGACTTGAGTTGCACAGGCCTGCTCCTCTTTCTAATTGTCATGATGCGCGGCCCTCCTTAGGGTTGCAAATGGTTGGGTGGGGGGAGGGGGGCGAGACCTGGCACTCTCGGGCCAGTAGGCAATGCACCCCTTGACCAGGTCTTTCACAGCCACATGGCTGTACAGCCTTGGAGCCGCAACGTGGATTGTTTGAACAATACAAGGAAGCCGAAGGCACTTGGTCTGAGAGCTGGCAGCCCAGACAGCAACGCATGGGCTCGCGAGGTGGCGCACTTGCCAGAGGCACCTTCCTCGTTGCTGGCCCGATGATGGCCAGCGGCGGCATGAAGGGGTTCGTCCAGCGGCTGGAGAACACACATTGACTCGAGTTTGTTTGTTTCAAAGCTCTCATTCTCCGTACGCAAGGCGCAACTCAGATCGAGGGTCTCGGCCCGAGGGGGAGGGCCAACCACCTCTGGAGGGGGGCCCGAGCCGGCACCAAAGTGTGTCAGGATGTCTTCCGCCAACTACTTCAAGGCGACCGTGAAGGAGGTGCTGAGCGGCGACTCGATCGTGCTGGTCGGAGGGGCGCGCCCTGGCACGATCCCTGCCGAGAAACGGCTCACTCTGTCGTCCCTCATTGCGCCCAAGCTGGTGGGTGGCCGCTCGTGAGCGGCCCCTCCGCACCACGCGAGTTCGTTGGCATGGGCCGCTGGTGAAAAAGCCTTAGAGTTGGTTGGCCGGGCGCACGTACATGACAACGGCATGATGGGGCCATGCAGCAGTGCCGTCGGGCCTCCGGGCCCCGCTCATTCCCAGTCAGCATGATGATCTCGCGATCTTGCGCGCTGCTGCGCTTGTGCTCCTGCGCCGCGCACCCGGCAAAGCGCGGTGTTCGGCGCACAGCAATTTTCAGCCCGAGTACATGATATGCCCGTATGCGCTGAGGACAGGGCAACAGTCACACCGCTGATCTTGACCAGCGCCTGCGCTCGCCCAACCGATTGACGTCAGGGCAAGCGCGACGGCACGACAAAGGATGAGCCCTTTGCTTGGGCCTCCCGCGAGTTCCTGCGCAAGAAGCTGATTGGCCAGGTGGGCGCTGAAGCCGCCGGCCTGGCATGAAGGGCGCGGCTGCCTGTGTGACCGGCGGCAGCGCCCGCATGATGAAGTCCGCCGCCACCCGCCGCCGCCCGCTCACGTCATGCCTACTGCCGAGGCCCGCAGCAGCTCCCTCTCCCTGAACGAGGCCCCCAGCCCTGCGCGCCCAACCCGACCACCCCCCTCCCTTGCATCACCGCCGCCCCCCAGACCGTCACCTTCCGCATTGACTATGTCGTGGAGGCCATCGGCAACAAGGAGTTTGGCTCCGTGTTCCTGCAGACCCCTACGGGCCAGCAGGAGAACGTCGCGCTCAGCATCGTGCAGAACGGCTGGGCCAAGGTGCGCGAGACGGGCTCCCAGCAGAGCCCCTACATCGAGGAGCTCCGCAAGGCGCAGGACGCGGCGCAGCAGGGGGCCGCCGGCCTCTGGAGCAAGGTGGGCGCGCGGGCACGGGGGCAGGCGCGGATGGAGAGGGGTCCCGCGGCAACAGCTGGGACGCGTGGGGCGCGGCCGACCCGTGACGGCGGCGGCGCCGGCAGATGCGGACTTTTGAGCCTCCACGGTGCCCGGCACACCGTCATCACTACGCTGGCAGCGCGGCCAGCAGGCCTGAATTCCCCGTTTGTGCTGCTCACCGCGTCCCCAATCTCAGGACGGCCAGGCCCTCGCGGCCGCGGTGCGCCCCTCGGCCGCCGGCGAGGGCTTCAACGCGGTCGACTTCCTGCAGAAGGTCGGCAAGAGCAAGCCCGTGGCCGGCATCGTGGAGGCGGTGCTCAATGGAAGCACGCTGCGCGTCACGTTGCTGCCGGACCTCACGCCGGTGCGGCGCGCCGCGCGTTGCGCGCATGGGCGGCCTGAGCAGCCGCGGCCGCGGCGGGGGCGCGCTGTTTGCTCGTGCGGCGTGTCGCCCTTGGAAACTAGGGTGGCTTGGTGAAGAGCGAAAAGCACCGCTCAGCAGCGTCGCTTGCGGCATCCTGCAGCACTCAAGTCCTTTGTTCGTGCTTTGCACACCTGTCCTCGGCTCCCTCCCTCCTACCCAGGTGACCGTGCACGTGTCTGGGGTCCAGTGCCCCTCCATGAGCAAGCGCCCGCCCGGCGCTGGCACCGCCGTCGCCGCCGCCGACAGCGGCACGCCCGCCGTCACGCCCGCCGCCAACGGCGAGGCGG